ATTTGATTGGAAAATAATGTCTATCTTTGAAGCTTAGATGTGTTTCTTGTATGCAGCAGAAGAATGGCTCTGTCTTCATATCCATTCTGTTTGCCTGTGTCTTTTTTACAGGTGAGTTAAGACCATTAATGTTGAGGGTGAGTAAGGACCATTGATTGTTGATGCTTGTTTGATTTAGGTTTGTTGTTTTCAATGATATTGTGAATATATTAGTTCTGCTTTACCCTTGGTTTCTGGTGTAGTTGGATTATCTTTTGCCTACATTTTTGTGGGTGTAGTTACCTTCCTTTGGAGTTTTCCTTCCAATACTTTTTGTAGGGCTGGATTTGTAGATATGTATTGGGAAAATCTGGTTTTGTCATTAAATATCTTGTTTAATGTGGTTGAGAGTTTTGCTGGATATAGTAGCCTAGGCTGGCATCCGTGTTCTCTTAATACTTTTAGAATATCTGCCCAGGACCTTCTGGCCTTGAGGGTTTCCATGGAGAAGTCAGGTGTAATTTTGATAGGTCTGCCTTTATATGTTACCTGTCCTTTTTCCTTCGCTGCTCTTAATATTCTTTCTTTATTCTGTATGCTAGGTGATTTGATTATTATATGTCGAGGGGTCTTTTTTCTTCGGTCCAGCCTATTTGGTGTTCGGTATGCTTGTTGTACTTACATGGGCATGTCCTTCTTCAGATTTGGAAAGTTTTCCTCGATGATTTTGTTGAATATGTTTTTAGCACCTTTGAGCTGGGCTTCCTCACCTTCCTCTATGCCTATTATTCTTAGGTTTGGCCTTTTCATGGTGTCCCACATTTCCTGGATGTTTTGTGTTAAGGGTTTGTTGGATTTATGATTTTCTTTGGTCGATGAATCTATTTCTTCTAGTTTATCTTCTGTGCCTGAGATTCTCTCTTCCATCTCTTGAATTCTGTTGGTTATGCTTGTGTCTGTAATTGCCGATTTTTTGCCCAGCTTTTCTATTTCCAGCATTCCTTCAGTTTGTGTTGCCTTTATTTTCTCTATTTCAGTTTTCAAGTCTTGAACTGTTTCCTTCACCTGCTTAATTGTTTTTTATTGGCTTTCTGTACTTTCCTTAAGGAATTTGTTCATTTCTTCCACTTTTTTGTTTGTTTTTTCCTCCATTTCTTTAAGGGATTTTCTCACATCTTCTTTGAGGGCTTCTATCATTTTTATGATGGTAATTTTTAAGTCGTTCCCTTCTGCTTCCTCTGCTTTGTTGTTGTGTTCCGTTCTATTTGGTGTAGATTCCCTAGATTCTGGTGGTGTCATGCTTGTCTTTCTGTTGTTAGGTGTTCTCTTGTATTGCCTTCTTCCCATAGCTTCTTCCAGTAGGTGTTGGTGGGGTCTCCCCCTCTCTCTATGGTATTTCCCTGGTGGGCTTATGTGGGTCTGAGATTCAGTATCTGTAGCTCTGTGTGGTCCAAGCTCCCTAGGAGGTTTCTCCGCAGACAGGGACCCAGGGGTGGGGTCAAGGATGAGGATCCAGTGGAAGATGCCAGCAGGTACTCACAGTGGTCCCACAGAGATAGGCGGATCTCTGGGAGGGGCCTGGCACTCCAGCAGAGGACTGGAGGCAGGGTCAGAGACCAAGCAGGTGGAAATTACGGGTGGTCCCGCGTGGATAGTCAGGTCTCCTTTGTTCAGAGTTGCTCAGAGAAGTCTCTGAAGTAGGGTGGACTGTTGGCTCCACCCTCTGTCCCAGTGCTCAACCAGAGCAGCAGGACTGTTGGTAGGGTAGGGCACAGGGTAAGGGGGGTAGGCTCGTGGTGGGGATGGGTGGGGATGTATCAGAGCTCCAAGGGTGCTCTCGATGGGGACAGGAGACAGGAGCAGCAGGATCAGGGGCCAACCCAGGGAGTTCGGGCAGGGGAGGAGGGGGAAAGAGGTTGTAGGGTACAGGCAGCCCTGATTGGGTCCAGACTCATCTCTAGCCAATAGCTGGAGGAAGAGAACAAGGGCTGAGCTGGATGGAACTCAGGAAGGTTTTGCAGGATAGTTGGATCTCACTGGAAACTGGAACTCTCCAGCTGAGGCCTCTTTCTTTAGCAGGGCCCGAATTTGAGGGTCAAGGATCTTGCCAGCAGGAATTCAGAGTCTGTAGACCTATTTTATATCCTAAGTAGTTGATAGACTCTCCTTTTTGTATTTTTTCAGATGCAATTTGTAATCCCCAGTGAGGTAAAACTTCCTTTACTTTCTGAAACATTTTTTCTAATATTTCTCCTTTAGAGTCAGCTAACAATATATCATCCATGTAATGATAGATTATGGATTGTGGAAACTGTTTACGAATTATTTCTAGTGGTATTTGTACAAAATATTGGCACAGGGTGGGGCTATTTAGGATTCCCTGTGGCAAAACCTTCCATTTATATCTCTTCACAGATTGAGAATTATTGTAATTAGGTACTGTGAAGGCAAATTTCTCTTTATCTTGTTCTTGTAAGGGTATAGTGAAGAAGCAATCCTTTAAATCAATAACTATAATAGGCCATTCTTTAGGTATCAAAGAAGGCTAGGGCATTCCAGGCTGTAGAGAGCTCATTGGCTGGATAACTTTGTTGATGGCTCTCAGGTCTGTAAGCATTCTCCATTTACCAGATTTCTTTTTGATAACAAATACAGGAGAATTCCAAGGGCTGGTAGATTCCTCGATATATCCAGCATTTAGCTGTTCCTGAACCAGTTTCTCTCTAAAGCCTCTAACTTCTCAGAGGTCTTAGGCCGTTGCCCTACCCAGGCAAGTTCCTCTGTTAGCCATTTTAAGGGTAGGGCTTTTGGTTCCTCTGTTCAGCACTTGTATTCTGTTTTTGTACAGCCTGGATATTTGGTGTCTGTCTTGTATAGTACTTTATAATATTTTTTCCACATTCATGAGGTTGTTTATGGTTCATATCTAATACTGGAGGAATGTTAATCTGTGCATTCCATTGCTGTAATAGATCAGGACCCCATAGGTTTATTGCTATATCAGCCACATATGGTCTCAATCTTACTCTCTGTCTTTCCAGTCCTATACATTCAATCCATCTCGTGCTCTGTTTTACCTGAGACAGGGTTCCAATCCCTAAGAATTGAACATTTACCTCTTGCAGGGGCCATCTTGGAGGCCAAGATTTATTAGTTATGATAGTTACATCCACCCCCATGTCCACAATTCCTCTAAACAGTCTGTTATTCACTTTAACTATCAATCTAGGCCTATGACTATTGATAGAGGTTTGCCAAAATATACGTTTTTTGTTTCCTTCTTACATGTTTGATTCAACTTCCATCACTAGTTTGTCATCCAGAGCAGTATGAGTTTTTACAATAGGCACTGGATTTTCTAATCGTCCTATGGGAGATTGTCCTCCACTGTGCCTGGGAATGTCTGGACCACATTTGACTTGGGGAACTTCGAGAGGCCCACCAAGGAGTTTCCCAATTGTAAAGGGTTTCCTTGCTTGTCTGTGATCAATCTACATTCATTGGTCCAGTGTTGGCCTTTGCCACACCTTCTACATAACCGAGAAGGCTGAGGCCTTCCGTTTGATTCATTCCTGGCAGTGTTATTTCTAGAAATAATTTGCCTACAATTTCTTTTTAGATGTCCTATCCTACCACAGTTAAAACATCTGACATTTTGATATCTTTTCAAACCTTTGGAGATAGCTTCTCCTACCCAAGCTTCTATGTCATCATAGTTAAGACCTCTGTTAATTTGATGTCTTCTCAGACCTTTAGATATGGTTTCTCCTACCCAAGCTTCAGTGTTATTGTCATTATACTCAATGTCCTGTATATAGGACCCATTCATCTAAGGGTGCTGATTTGATTTTTAAAAGCCAAAGCACCTGTTTGCACTGTGGATTTGCATTGTCATAAGCTAATGATTCTACGAGTATTCGCCTAGAATCTGTGTCTGCTAACTCTAATTGTATTGCCCTAAGACAGCCTTTCTAGAAATACACTAAAGCGTTCTCTTAGTCCTTGCCTTATCTTAGTATAGAATTCTATCCTCTCCCCTAGTTCATGAACCTTGCCTCATGCATTCAAAGCTGCTGTACTGCATAGAGGTGTGGTCATCATAGGCAGCTTGAGTTTCTGGGTCAGCATAAAGACCCTCACCAATAATTTTATCATGGGGAGCTTTATAACCTTTCTTTAAACCCTGTATTTCAAGAACTTTTGCTTCCTCTCTGCATAAAGCCCTCCATTCTAATTGAGAGGAGTTTTCAAGGACAGCTGATACTAATTGATCCCAATCCTTAGGGGTTACCTTGTTATTCCTTGCCCATGAGTCTATTAATTGCTTCACATATGGTGAGTGCATGCCATAAGAGACTACTGCTTCCTTTATACCTTTTAAATCTTTCTAAATTTATATAAGCACTTGGTTGAGAAAGTAAGGGTATTGATTGTGATTACTTTCTTGCCAGAATCACGAATTGCTAGGGCGAGTCATCCAATATACTGACTCATAGGGGAAATGTGCCCAGTAATTGATTAATACACCACTGGAGGTTTTTGAGATGAATCCCACCATAGAAAGGGAACGCTGTAGCTTCACAGGGAAATTACAGTAAGGACAGTCATTATTCATGAAGCAAATATCCCTACCCACATCCCTAGTTGTGGACCTCCTCCATCAGAAAATGATCCCAGTGGGTTACCTCCTCGATTTGCCAGCTACATTTCCACTGCCTAATTGTAGCACTCTGCAAGAGCAATACACGCTCTTAACTATAGAACCTTCTCTCCAGCTCTCACTGGCCCCCTACTTTTGTCATCTGTATAATTAAGATTAACAGCATAAATAAGTTTAAACATGGACAATGGATTTCTAAGTATAAAATTAATGCAAATGTAATTATGGCATCTGTATAAATGTTCACTATGTAATTCTTCAAGTACGTACATGTAGATCAGGCTTCTTTGAAACCCGTGAATATGAACATGAGTAGAAATTCCTTTATTGTCATTATTTAAATTATTTTTCCATGTTCTAGGAGTCTATGAACTTGCTACTTTTCTTATGAAACCTGGTGGCCCAGCTCTATGGGGTGATGCATTTAAAAGAGCAGTAAATGCCCATGCCAATCAAGGATACACTACATTAATTGGTGTGTTCCATTCAGAATATGGAACACTCAACAGAGGTAAAGATGCCCATTTCTTTAAAAAAATTCAGTGAATATTGGTGTCCTGTTTATGTGTTAGAATCCTTTGGTTAAAATTCATATATTATTGACAAGGTCTTGTACTTTTATCATTTTAAAGACTTGATAAGTTGTCTCTTTCTTATTTAGAACTTAACACCTACCAAAACTATTTTAAAATGATAAACTTTTGTTTTCTGATACATAAACAAATCTCAACAACCATAAGGACCTCAAAAAATAGTGTATCTTTTTTAATCTTTTTATTCCTTTAAAGGTATTAGTATCAGTACTAGGGATTGAACCTAGGACCTTATGCATGCTAGACAAGTGTTCTAACCCTGAACTATCTCTCCTGTCCTAATTAGGTTTCTATTGCTGTGATAAAACCATGAACAAAAGCAACTTGGGGAGGAAAGGGTTTATTTACGCTTACACTCCCAGATCATAGTCCACCATGAAGAACAGTCAGGGCAGGAGCTGAAGCAGAAGCCAGGGAAGAATGCCGTTTATTGCCATGCTCTCCCTGATTCGCTGAGTCTGCTTTTTTATATGACAGAGGTATACATTCACAGGCCAGGAGTGACACCATCCCCAGTAGGCTGGTCTTTTCCATACCAACCCTTCATTAATCAAGAAAAATGTTCCAGAGGCTTGCCTCAGTCTATCTGATGGAGCACATTTTCTCAGCTGAGGCGCTCTCTCCTCAGATGCCTCAAGCTTCTTGTCAAGGTAACAAAAAACTAACATAGCTGACCCATTGTCATCTTGACTTACAAACACATCATGGCTAAATCATAAACTTTCTTATTTGTCCTCAAGATGTCATGTTAATATTAACACAGTATAAGACCTAGTATAACTTTAAAAGTCATACCATCTTTAAAAGTTCAATCTCTTTAAAATAGCCAAAGTCTCTTAACTGTGGGCCCTTGTAAAAATCTGCTTCCAATATGAAAGAAACAGAGCACAGTAGCAAATTCAAAGCAAACCCAGCACAAAAAGTTTAGTGCCTGACACCTGCGACCTATTCATTAGTCAATCATCTGGACTTCAGAGGGCCTTGGATGCTCCACTGCTCTAGTTTTGCCAACCTTGGGACACTCAGCTTGCTCTGCTCCACAGCTGCCACTGGCCTAGGCAGTCATCCCACCATCCTGGCATCTCCAGTATGCTGCAGCCTTTGCTGCACCCAAGGCTGCATCCTCACCAGTGACCTTTCCTGGACTCACTTCAGGGTCTCCAGCCCTAGTACACAGTGCCAAGTCTCAGCTACTCTCCATGGCCCCAGAATGCTTTCAAAACCAGTACCACCGAGGTGATCCTTACTCATTCATTGCCAAGTTCAGCTTCCAGCATGAGATGCAAAATTAAAGTAAAATAAAACATAGTAGGAAGACATACAGTCTGGATCTTGAGTTCCTTTAACAACCTTACTGCACTTCCCTGCTTGATTTCTTCATGTATAAATCCAGTCTGATTAGTTCATCTATAATTTTCTTCCAACTCCTCTGAAATCTTATCACTGAAATATTTAGTATCATGCTTTTATCTTAATAGTAATTATACTTTATTTTTACTTCTCTGTATTTGTGTGTAAATGCCTTCTTGATTTACTTCTGCAGTTCACATTCTCTGGTGGATTGAGAATGCCGACATTCGCGCAGCTGGGAGACAAAGGTCTCATGATGACCACAGCGTCGTGTCTACTGGTGAGCTGTTTCATTAGGTGTGAATTATTTTTAGAGCACATTTGATTCAGCTGATCCAGCTTATAACATGTCTTATGAATTGTCTTTCTAGTTCGGGAAAGTGTCAACTACCTTGATATTCAGCAGAATATGTTCCTAATTCCTGAACCATTTTCACCATTGAAATAGTTTCCTAAGTTGTTTCAGTAACTGGCATGAGACGTGTCAGCAGATGGTCTTCAATTCTCTCAATAGAATTATTTCTACTTCTTATTTGAAGGAAGTGGTAAGTTAACTTGCCTTTGCATTTTTAAAGCTCATCTGGGTCCCTCTTATTAAACCCATCTCTACATGGGAAATAGAATTCATTTTCCCCATGTCACTTCATTGTCTGTCATATATTAAAAGTAATTCATTCAAAAATAATGCTATTTAGTCCCAGTAAAATCTTTGAAGACTCTTTTGTTTATAAGCTGAAGCACCTTATTATTGATAATTAATTAATTAATTTAATAATATTTACTTCATTCAGATGCTTCCTAAAACAGATACTTGGTTACTATATCATGATCTTTGTTTTCCATTTGTTTCAGAATAAGCTGTTCTGTAGGACAATCCTATGTTCAAATGAGATTACATTTCCAAGCTTGTGACCATACTTTTAAATTATTAATAAATATGTGAAACTTTTTAATCTTGCCTTTTTACCTGAAGTGTTTTGATTATTTTATAATATAAAATGGGATTCAAGAAAATATTAAACTTCTCTTATATGAAAAATGATATAATCATCTGTGATGTCTGTATTGTCAGTCATTCAGAAAATAATAGATCAGCATACTAAAAGTTTCAATGACTCTATATGCTGAAATGTTATTTATCATTAACTTAATATTTATTTCATTTTTTTTCCTAACAAGATGCTTGAGATATCTTTATTTGAATGAGGTCATTGTAGACATGGAAACATTTGCCCCTATGTATTCTGATGCTATTTTACTAGTTTTTATATTTTTATCATCCTCTTTAGAATCAATGTAATGTACAGAAAGGGATAATTTATTGCCCTTATTGTAAATATGCCTCCATTAAGAAAACATCATGCTACTTGCAACAGTTTGGATCCAGAATATCGCCCCTCCCACAGTCTCATCAGTTGAAGCCTTGGTTGGCAAATAGTAGCATACTGGAGGTGGTAAAAAAGTGTAAGAGGAAAGGCCTAGATGAAGAAAATACCCTTGGCAGGTATATTGGAACACTTCTGCTGTCTCTGTTTCCTGGTTACCACAAAGTAAGCAGCTTTCTTCTACCATAATGTACTACCTCAGAGCAGTCCAAAAAGCAACGTGCTAAGGAACCATACCCTAAAGTCCCTAAAACTATAAAGCAAAATAAACCTTTCTTCTAATTTTATTGTTCGCAGGGATTTTGTCATAGCCAGACCTTCCCTGTTCCATCAGGAGTGTAGGATCACTTCTTCATAACTACAAGCGTGTTCATCCCCCACCATTTGGAAAGGGTTGACATGAGCCTCACTTTTGGACATAGGAGCCTGCCCCACTGGATGGGGAGGACAAACAGTATATTGGTTTTGTTCTGTTGACTAGCAGGTATGTGAGGGCTTATCTGTATCTCAGTTCCCATTTGGAAGAAATCCATGATGGCCTGTGGAACTAAAGTTGTGGTACACTTCTCTTGTCCAGTCATTCAGGTCTTGTCTCAGCAAAAGGATACAGTAGCATAGCATCACCTAGGAGGGCCTGGACTGTCTGAATACATGAGGAGCACCAGATCATCTGGAAAAGATGAACACAGTCTCATCTGTATATCTTTGATTTGGTCTTTGGGTTTATTTGTTTATTTACTTGTTTATTTTGAGAAGGATCTCATTGTGCAACCTAGGCTAGCCTAGAACTCACCGTGTGACTAATGATTTCCTCAAGCTCCTATCTTCTGGTCCCCACTTCTGTACTGGTATAGTTTTATTCAATTTAACACAATCTTGAGTCATCTGAGAGGAGGGAATGTCAATTGAGAAAATGCCTCCATAAAATCTGACTATAAGTAAGCTTGTAGGGCATTTTCTCAATTATTGACTGATGTGGGAGGGCCCAGCCCATTGTGGGTGGTACCATCCCTGGGCTAGTGAACCTTGGTTCTATATGAAAGCAGGCTGAGCAAGCCATGGGGGATCAAACCAGTAAACAGCACTGCTCTGTGGCATCTGCATCAGCTCCTGTCTCCAGGATCTTGCTCCATTTGAGTTCCTACCTGACTTCCTTCAATAATGGACTACAATGTGAAGCATAAACCAAATAAACCCTGTCCTCCCCAAGTTGGTTTTGGTCATTTTGGTCATGGCGTTTCATCACAGTGATAGTAACCCTAACTAGGACAGCTTCCTAAATGTTAGGATTACAGGCCTGTATCATCATAGAGGCAGAGACAGGCAGATCTCTGTGAGTTTGAGGCCAGTCTGCAGAGCGAATTCCATGACATCCAAGGATACACAAAGAAATCCTGAAGCCTGCCTTGAAAAACAACAACAATATGAAGTTGTTGAACTATCTTCAATCTGATCAGAACCAGCTCTGACATACAAGATATTCATTGATCTGAATGGCAGACACTACATGTTGAAAATCATGGTTAACAAGACAAAGTACCTGCTTTCATGTGGTCAGTGTTTCTGAAGACTTACATGTAAGACACACACATTAAACAGCATAACATTGGCTAAAACTAGAGCCAAATATGAGAGCAATTAGCAGGTGACAAGGGTTTCAATTTAGCTAGAGGTAATATCTTGGAGATTATTATCTATCCAAAGCTAAAACAATGAGAATGATCAAGCCAGGAAGACTTAGAAAAAAGAATACTGCAAGCAAAGATGCCAGAATGTGTACAGACTCAAGTTATCAGAAAAAATGAGTTTAAATGTTCAATAATCAACAGGAAGGCAGTGGGCAATAATCTAGTGAGCTATGGGGTAGAGTGAAGTGAAAAGAGTTAGGAGCCAGCTCACATAGAACTGATAAGGAATTTGAATTTGCTGCTCAATGTGCTGAAAATTTCCGTAATGAATAGCAAAGTGTGCATGTCTTTTTTTTTAAGAGAGAGAGTGTGTGTGTGTGTGTGTGTGTGTGTGCGCACGTGTGCGTGTGTTTATGTGTTGCCAGTGCTAGGTGCCTGAGAGCTGGTGGTACAGGTGATTGTGAGCAACCTGATGTGGATACTGGGAACTGAACATAGGTCTTCTGTAAGAACAGTATGAGCTCTTAACCACTGAGCCATTTCTCCAGTCCCCAAGTCTTAATTTTTAGAGAAATAAGCATCTTTAATGGCTTTTTTTTCTGAGGATGTTAGGTCCTCTAATTGTTTGCTCCTTCAGACTCTCTTCAGGTCACTGCATTAGCTTTTTCTAAATGAAGTGATTCATAGCACACCGATGCTAATAAATGCAGTGGCAGAGACACTAATACAAGCACTTCAGAGTAGACGCTGATGCCATGTAAAAATGACTCAGAATGCTCGGGCCTGGCATTCTTTGCCTTACAGACTAAGAAAAACCACACCAGGCCATGAATCCAGCTTAGCATAGAGCATTGGTTCTCAACCTGTGGGTTGCTACCCCTTTGGAGGTCAAATGACCCTTACAGGGGTCATATATCAGAATTTACATTAAGATTCATAACAGTAGCAAAATTACAGTTGTGAAGTAGCAACAAAAGTAATTTCATGGTTGAGGGTTTACTACAACATGAGGAACTGTATTAAAGGATCACAGCATTAGAGAGGTTGAGAACCACCGGCATAAAGTGGTTCTACTACAAGTCTATCCATGTGGCATCACTTAGCCCTTTAGCCTTGGTTTCCTTGTTTGTGATCTAGGAATGAGAACACATTCAGACCCCACAGTCATGGAACCACCCCCCAACAATGCTACAAGACAAGGCACTGTCTCCCATTATCAATTCAGAAAGCATGATTATCTAAATCCTATGTGAAATGCCTCACACTTTACCTCCTTGCAAAATAATGATGCATACATACTTTACAAGTAAACCAACCTGACCTAGACAATCCCCCACTGAGACACTCTTTCCCAGGTGATTGCAGATGTTGTCATGCTGACAAAATGTCCATCACACTAGGCCTTCAGCACAGGAGCCTTCAGGAGATACTTCATGTCTAAACCACAGGACGCATTCAGTACTTACACAGTATCAGGCTCATTAGAATGGGATGATCTCTTTTCTAGGAACTATGTAGGCATCACTGGCATTATCTTAGAGAAAACATAAGGATGTGGTATGTGACTTGAGAATTAAAAACAGTACAAAGAAGAGTAGCTAAATAGGGACAAGAGTGACATCAAATAAATAAAACTGTCAGTTAAGAAGTCACTGTAAAGCAATCTGTGAAAGTCACATAAATCTAAAATAGATTTAAAAAAAACAAGACAAGACATTTAATAATGAAAATATAAACTAAAATTCCTCCCAAAGTTCACATGCAGGAAAAAGAGGGTGAAAGAGTAAACATGCAGAACCTAGGGAATTTCATTTATAGCTGGTGGGTCTTAAAATGTTACTGGCACTGAAATTCACTTGTAATCCAAATCCAAAAGAAAGCCAAAGGGGTATTTTAAACATCTATAAAAAAGGCATAGTAAGTATATATTTCTATGTGTTTTAGTAAATAAAATACTTCAATAGAAATGATAAACTTATAATATCATTAAATATTAAGACAAGCATATATAGTGAGATATCTACCCCGCCCACACCTGTTGCACTGACCACACCCATTGCGGCTTGGGCACAGGGGTTCTGGACCCCAGCTCACTCTCTTCTCTGAATCAGGTCACAGAGGGCAGCCTGTGTGGATCCTCGGAGCAGGGATTTGCTCCAAGGTCATCTGCATCCATCATGTTTAAGTGATTTTTCCCTGAATAAAAATTATATTAATCTATATTTGAGCCAGTCCTATGAATCTTGTGCCGTATACCAGTTATCTACTTCAGCCATAACTCTTTCCTATCAATGGTACTAAAAAATATCAACAAATAGAGAAATATGAACACCAGTTGGTAGTTCAAGAATAGAGAGTCTGTTTTCTTCCACACAGCACTCCATTCTATGTTCAACACACAAAAGATACTTTGGTGACATAAGCAGGACACTTATTAATAAAAATTTATTTTTATCTTTACTACACACCCTCAATAATATAGCAATTCATAAGCTTAAGGGACATTTAATGAAAATCAACTTTTATTTTAAAAGAAAAAAAGATTCTTTTAAGTACAATAAAGCAACTCATAAACATTGTGGTGGTAATTTGCCTTTACTGAAATTAAACAAGCATCACATGCCATAAAACACACACACACACACACACACACACACTTCTGACATTCCAGAAACCCTGAGTTCAATCCCCAATTGTTGGGGAGTGGGGTACTCAGTCTGTGCCTAAAGAAAGAAAAGTTACTCTATGTCACCATCTAGTGGCCTTAGACTATAGTTCTGGAAAGAGTAAGTTCTGAAAGAAAAAAAAAGAGAAGAATCCAGAAGGTAAGCATCCAGAGTCCTACATGTACCTGGCCGCCCCCCAGCTGGGTTAGCAGACCCATCACACCTGCTTCCAATTGCACAGTTGCACAAGTCTAACCTTTGAACACAATCAAGCAATCAAGCAGGAATGCCATCAAGGACATTGTTGTTTGCCTGCATCATAGGTCAGCCATCCTGCAAGTCATACCTACATGTTATTTGAGGTGTACAAATGTGTTTTCACAAAAGTCAAACTAGAAAATAATAAAAACATAGTCAGAATAGCCTTACACACTGGTATGAAAAGTATAAATTCATAAAATGCTTTAATAGCTTTTAAAAGAGCAATATGCACATAACTCAGAAGTCAGCAACCAATAGGTGCACTCTAGGGGCATTATTTGCACATAACAGAGCCAGCAATTCAGTAGGTATGTACTCTATGAAATGAAAATGAGGACATGACCACTCCTGGGTATGGCTGAGGAGAAGGTTTTTACGGCAGATATGAGGGAGAGAACAGCCAGAGGCATCTGGAAGGATCCAGACTGGGCCATGTGAGGGGAGAAAGGGGGAGAACAAGCGAGGGAGAGACAAGAGAGGAACCTAGAGAGGTCAAATGGATGAAGAGAGGAGCCTAGGACCCGAAGAACCAAGAGAGAAGAACCAAGAGAACATGCGACCAAAATGGTTAATGATATGTAGGAAAGAGAAGCTGTGGGAAGCGAAGCAGAACAGGGGTTGGAGATGTTTAGGGTGGGGGTGGCGGTAAGAAGAGCTGAGGTGCCAGGCTAGTGCCCACTTTGATATTTTAATCGGCACCTCAGACATTATTCCAGATTTCTTTGACACCTAATACTCTAGAGAAACCGTGTGACTAGCCCAAAGCAGGCTGTTGACAGCACTCAGAGCTTTTGGTAACCAGGATGGGTAAAAGCTGTATCTCAGTTATAACCAACTGTATCCCTTTGGTCATAAAAGAAGGGAATAATTCACAATATTATCAGGACTTGTGATGTTTTAATCAATAACATGTTTACGGTAGCTGCAGATGTCAAAATTCCTTTTATGCTTATCACTACATAAAATGCTGTCTTACACCTTAGATTGTTATTTACCCATATAATGAAGCACGTCTGTTTTTAATAACTTACCTTTAAGTTTTGATGTTTACTCAACGTTATTTGTTTTTAGAGTTATTTGTATTAACTAAGTATAAAATCTTTAGGGATTTAAAGGCTCACAAAACTTCCAGAAGTTTGACACTTTTGATACTGGACTACCAGTAAATAATGTAGCCTAGGGTACATTGGTAAAGCAGCCAAGAGGCTATTTTTATCAGGGAAATTATTCAAGATATTGGGATCAATTATCTATTTGATGTGTACCTGAAAATGAAATCTCTCAGAAACATCCCAACTTTCCAAGTGAATATGGTTGGAAAACTCTAAAATATGCTCAACAAAGAACGCAAAGACGCACTAGAAAAATTGATAAATCCGAGGCCCATCAGAGGTCTGCTTTCACAGCCCACAAAGCTACTTCATTTCAGTCTCTTCGTGTGATTTCAAGCCCGCGGGACCACTGTTTTGGGCTCCAGATAAATTAACCCATCTTTATTCGGAGCCTTCCAGGACACTGTTGGGTGGTTGAATGCAGGGCTGACCGAAATGCTGAGTTCTTTGCGATAAAGGTAAAGGCTCGCTGGAGGTTGCCACGAGGTCACCCCACACACACACACACACACACACACACACCCAAACTTCAAAGCACCCATGCTACGCCCTACATTTTGGAGCGTTTGCTCCCCACGGGGGAAGGTGTGGCTCAGGGTGTAGAACACACCGAACCCAGCCTTCAAATTTTTGCAGCCACCCCAGAACCCAAAATCTCGTAGAACAAAAAGCCAAGCGTCTGGGTTGAAACATAAACTGCACAGGCAGAGCTTCTAGCGCCCCAGGGGCAGGGCGGGGAGGAGCCGCCGAGACCCGCCCAGTACAACGTGGTCCTAACGGAGCGAGCGCGCGCACCAGGAAGGGGGAAGAGCGCGAGTTCCTGCACCCGGCAGCGGTCTTCTTGGGTGCTCCAGGTCGCGCCATGCTCGCACTCGGAAGCTGCCTGAGAAAGGCGCTGGCCCCACGGGCGCTGACGACTCAGGTAGGGGACGCGGGAAGGCGCGAGAGTCGCGCCCAGGAAGGTAGATGCAGACTCTAAGGCGTGCACTGATGGGGCTCAGGGAAGTGGGCGCGGCCTGTGGGGACATCGAGGTTTGCTCTGGAAGGTGGGTGGGGCCTGTGGCACGCGCACGCGGCTGTGGGGAGGTGGGCGGGGCCTGCGGGGCGGAGAGCTTGCATCAGGGAGGTGGGCGGGGCCTGTGAGGACATTGAGATTTGCTCAGGAAGGTGGGCCGAGGCTGTGGCTCGCGACTGTGGGGAGGTGGGCGGGGCCTGTGGGGAGAGCAATGCTCGGGTCCTGGGGCTTGTTGCAAGATGGGCGGGGTTTGCAAGGCCAAAGCCGCGAGATGGGTCTGGCGGGCGAGTACACGCTCTCTCGTTCACTGACAGAGGCCTGGTGTGTCTAGCCAATGTCCCTGTTCTATCAGGAGCCAAAATCTGGTGAATCCAAGCCACCCTAGAGTCACCTCTCCAGATGCTCGACAGAGGCCTTTTTCTGGCCGGGGGTCATCCTTGAAGCTTTGACCACCACCATCGTGACTGCCACTCATTGAGGTTTTACAGACACCGGCTGGTTCAAAAGCCTGAGCTTTATGGAGAAACTTGAATGGGAGACCAGAGTCGCGGTGGGAACATCCTGCCCTGCAGTTAGGGTCCTGGAGTCCCCAAGCCGAGCACAGCCCTGGAGCCTCCTGAAGCTGGTTGTGCCTGAGATGGGACATGCTCAAAAGGGAGCCAGCCAGCCAGCCTCGGGGGTAGGGGAGGTGACTTGAACCAAGAGGCTCTACTTCCTGAATTTTGGAAGAGCGTTAATCTAGTCTAGAGACAGATTTTGTGGTGAACATTAAAGAAGAGCATAATACAAATGTATCCTCTGCCCTTGAGGTCTTCCTAGTATGGTTGAGAATAAGCCCTAGTTTTGAGATAACTGGACATAAAGCAGATTTCGGCCTTGGCAGTGTGGTCTAGCCGTTAAAACGTTAAATGACCTTACCTCTTAACATACACCTTTTCAGTACAGATTTCTGTAATGTACACTTTTGTGTGTGTATGTGAAAGACTACAGTAAAAGTGTCTTTCATCAATAATTTCTGTTCTACAAATACAAATTCCATGAATCACTCTAAAAGCTTGTTGCAGGTACTAAGTCTCATTTTTTTTAAATCACCTTGTATGTTTTTAAGGACATGGGTTTATTTTTTTATGTGTTTGTGTACCATGTATGTGTCTAGTGCTCGAGGGGGTCAGAAGAGGGCAATGGATCCCCTGGGACTAATGTTACATACCATTGAGAGCCACCATGTGGGTACTGTACTGGAAATGGAACCTGGGTCCTCTGCAAGAGTAACAAGTGCTCTTAATCGCTGAGCCAATTCTCCAGCTTTTGTTATATATATTTTAACTACAAGTATGAAGCAGTTGGAATGTGGTTACAAACACAAAAAGCATTCCTACCACACAAGAGCACCTGCAGTATTTTTTATGACAGGCTTAGTTATTTGGGATAGTTGAAGCATAACTCATAATCATGAATGAAATAAGCCCCCGCCTATAAGCAAAAGTAATGTACTATTGTGATTTGTAAATAAAAGTAGAGGTAAGGCCTATTGCTTTCATTAGCCATATAAGTGATCAAGGTAAGCCCCTAATTTGGTCATACCTCTACTTACCAAAGTGGTTTTGTATATTTTTCTGGTCTTTAATTACATTTAGGAAATGGATACGTGCTAATTCAACCTTCTTAAGATGGTGCTATAAACTAGAATGCTGTGTGTGTGTGTGTGTGTGTGTGTATGCATTTAAGTAATCACATACAGGGTAGTTAATGGCAAAGTGCTTCCTAGCATCACATGAAATGTAAGGGCCAAAGTTAACCTGTAAGTTCCACTTACCCCAGATAGCTCCTGAAATGCTGGAGGCTATTGTTTATGGGAGATAACAAATCACATGTTTTCACTGCCCTGAACAAGTTTGTTTGATTCAGCTGCACCAGACTTGCTTGATTACACCTAGTCAGGATGTGCTTGATCACACGTAAGTGGGAGGTCCATAAGCAGCAAGTACATCAGTATGCTTGCCCCTGATTGGATGTAGGTGGAACATACGCAGGCATAAGTGCATTAGGATATATGCCTGCCCCTAATTGGACTTGATGGAAAATACAGTGGCCTTATGGGATTGCCTTTGTAAGCCTCTACAGAATGTGCCTTGTTGCCATTTCTTAGAAAGCCCAAAATGGTCTGGGAACCTCAGAATGATCCTGGTCAGAGCCCATCCTCCTGGCCAGTATTTAATTAAGAATTAAGGCTTGCTTCAAATTTGGCTCCAAAATTGTAAAACTGATCTTTCTCTAGCAAATCTCAGGTTTAACATGAGATTTTCATATAAAACACATGATTATTAGAGGACATTCTCATCAAGCTGATATAATTGGATGCATTAAATGCACTGCTTCCTATTGAATCTAACTTTTGAAACTGAGGGCCCCCTGCAGGTGTTAGGCAGGGAAGTCAACCTGCAAAGAGATGAGAATGAAAACTCATTCAAATTTTGACTTAGTTAACCTGGATCAGACTTTGGGAAATATAATACTACGATGTTCAATGTATTTAAAATTCAGTATTATGATTTGAGAAAAATATTCCAGGCAACAATAATTCCAGTTCCAAGTGCACAATAAAGCTTAAGGTGTGACTACATAGAATTCCTTTGCAAAGTACACGTGACCATAAGGGTGAGTTCTATAGCTAAGGAGAATTGGATTTGTGTGGCCTCTGAACAATAGCATAGAGGTCAGCAGGCCATAAAGCATATGTGACATCTCCCTTAAGGATGGGGTTAACTAGAGCAGAAGATAACAATCCAGGCATAGAAGAGTCTGGGATAACCATTCTGGGGTACTTGGGTGAGGCCTCCCTCCATAAATAGCAAAAAGGTCACCAGGATGTTAATATCCACTGCCAGCCTTCTGGGAAGAAAACAGGTATTTTATCTCCTCCATTAAGGAGAGGCCATTGTGTGTGTTTACATTCCCAGCTCCCTAGTTCTCTGTGAGTGAAAGGACCTTCGTACCCACAACAGGAAACTAATGTTTCAGAACACATCTCTCACCTTGAATTTTCACCTTTCAGCTTTCACAGAGCTATCCACTATATTGCAGAAACAACTGATGATTCCCTGCATCCTTTTTCTGACCAGTAGTTTACTTCATTGAGTATTGTTTAAAGGGTTAGATCTAAATAATAATACTCATTTTTTAGGAACTCAAAACATCTTCTGCTAATAAGCATTTTTGTTGTGTCTGTTAAGAAGGCACACATACAGAATTAGTAGTACTGTTGACTACTGGTGTTGACTAAATAAGAGAAAACTATAGAGTTGTAAGGGTCCTGGTCATAGTTCCTGGGAAACATGATTGCAACCTTGATGATAGCTTATCAGCAACTTTTCATGAAAGTGTGGTTAACAATGCCTTCCAGTTAGGAGAGTAACTCTGCACTCAGCATAGTTAACAGCATTTTCCTTTATTATCATCTCTACAAAAACATGTCTGTCTATAAAGAGTTGACAGGAGAAATAGCAAGACAAATTATGGGTCTACTTTATGCCCTTTGTTTCCAGGCTCAAATATATGATTGTGTCAACATGATAAATCCTATCTTTTCCGAAATAGTTCATTCAGTGTCCCCTGTCTGTTTCAGGTATGTTCACCTTTTGCTACAGGCCCCAGGCAAAGCGATGGAACATTATATGAATTCCGCACCTATTTTCTCAAGCCCTCAAAGACAAATGAGTTCCTGGAAAATTTTAAGAAAAGTGTTCACCTCCGGACAGCTCACTCCGAATTGATTGGATATTGGAGTGTAGAATTTGGAGGCAGAACAAACAAAGTATTCCATATTTGGAAGTACGGTATGAGTCACACAGCTTCTGTTTCATACAAATGCTCATTGCTAGACAGTGTATAAAGCCAAGTCTTTCAGCCTGTGTAACTGTACATACACACAGGTGAAAGAAAAATGCTTGAAAGCAATACAGTAACAAAGCCAGGTCAATTACTCAGTGACCCTTTTGTATCTTTGCTTGGACTATGAGGTTAACATTAATGGGAACATGTCTTATACCAAACCCTCCTTTGATAAAATGACTTTAATTCTCAAAGTTTTAGAATAGTTTGTTGGAAAAGCCTTTTGTAAAATTAAAATCTGTTCTTACAAAAGTCCAAGTAAGTGGAGAATACAAAATGAAACAGTCTTATTAATAGATAAAGCTGGGTATCAGCATTTAGTACTTACTTTTTTAAAAACTTTGATATTTAGAGCCTTCAAGAGGGCATCAACTGTCAACTTTTAAGCTTCTCTAAGATTTAATGATTTTGTTATGTTTAGCGATCACTTTTAAGTTCTTCACAATTTCAAAGAATTCACTATCATATTCCATAATGGAGATAAAGGCAGAGAAATTGAAAAGGTCTTCTCACATGGAAGATGACATAACCACAGAAAGGAGAAGTTACAAGAATCTGTGACGTTCCTTACTTCTCCGATGGTCTTCACGCTCTGAAGCAGGGCCTGAGGGTACCCAAACAATTCTTCATCATTTCCTTTCGGATTTGCTTGTCAGTGTCCAGATTAGTTTTCAAAAAATGCTTCGCTGCCAAAATTGCCCATTCTGTACCTAGTATAGCACAGTTTTGGGCTTTTCCATCCTACAATAGGTCAAGCCTCATCAAAATTAGTATCTACTTCAGATGGGGTACAAGTTAAATCATGACCCATTAAGAGAATGAACAAGAATGAGAAAGGCAACACCATTGTTGTTTACAGAGTTCATTTTATTTCACTTACATTGAAATTTGTTCAGGGTATACCTTGACTTGACCACCTACCAAATACCAAAGTATTTTTCTGTCAACTGGGAGTTGCAGTTGAAGAGCCCACATCCACTGAGCATCAAGTGCTAAAGTCTGTTCTGACTGCTCTTCATGGGTTTATATAAATCTCACCCCAATCGTGGAGGTTCATGTTATATTATTCCCCATATCACAGACTGCTCATGGGTTCATGGAATCCTCACCCCAAACCTGGAGGGTGGGTTTATATTATTCCACGTATCACAGACTGAGAAACACACAGTGACTTAGCTCCTGTACACTGCTGATTGGCAGAGCCTGTGAAGTCCATTCAGTGAGATCACAACAGTTGTTCCATTCTTTTACCCTGAAGACTATTAAATGACTTGATGCAAATGTCACATCTTTGCAAGTGGGTGTTCCCAAAGCCATGACAGTGTTCTTTATGTGCTGTAGATAAATGTTTGCTCATTTGGGTGAAATCCAAAATCCAAAAATAGATAATTTTTAATAAAATAATTTAAACTTTTCTTCATTTTTTTTTTTCTACCATAGATAATTTTGCTCATCGAACAGCAGTTCGCAAAGCCTTGGCTAATGATAGAGAATGGCAAGAACAATTCCTCATTCCAAATTTGGCTTTCATTGATAAACAAGAGGTTGAGATCACCTACCTGGTACCATGGTGCAAAATAGGAACGCCTCCCAAGGAAGGTGTGTCTGTCTTAGCTGCTGTGAGTTTTCATGACGGTAATACTACAGATGTACAGATGTTAAGTGATTTTTTAAAAAAAAAAAAAGTGTCTCTGGAAAACAACAACAACAAAAAAATGAATTATTTATTTTGTACAGGGATGATGCTGTGACCATTGAGATAAAAACTGATCTTATTTCATCCTTAAAAAAGAGAATTAGTGAAGTATTTTTCCAAACTAAAATTTGTGTGTGTGTGTGTTTGCATGTGTGTATGCCTGTATGTCTGTACAGCACTGGCATACCTGGTACCTGTAAAGGCATCATATCCTCATGGAAATGGAATTACAGACAGTTGTGAACTCCCATATGGGTGCTGAGAATCGAACCCAGATTCTCTGCTAGAGCAACAACTGCTCTTGACTACTGAGCCATCTCTCCAGCCCTTGCAAACTAAGTTTTATGGGTTAAAGCTTAGCTACAACATAGAAAAAGTCTATATAATACGAAAGTAATACGAACTTTATTCATTTATTCATTTTTAAGGTTGAGACAAGGTTTCACAATGTAGCCCAGGCTGACCTCCAATTCACTATTCTCCCCCCTCAGACTCTCAAGTGCAGAGAGTATAGACATATACTACCATGTCTGTTTAAATAACAAACATTTAAATATAAAAATACTTTCCATAGATTACAGCATTTTAGGTAAGTACATCTTTACTTACAAAATGGACTGTCTGGAGGGAGGGGGTTAACTGACATTGCCCAGCTAGACACTGTAGCAAACTTTTCTTTCTCAGTTTGAAAGTAATTCCATATGATATGTCTCCTTGCTGATTTAAAGAACTGTTTTAAACAAAGGTCAGATTTAAAAAGCATATTTATTTCCCATTTTTTCCTAACTATAATGTCTGTTAGAATACAAGGAATTTGAAGTTTCTTTGAGACCTTTACCTGGTGGGAGTAGAGGAAGCCCTGAGTGATTGAAGTCCTAAGTGTGTATTTTAACCTGGGCTAGAACCTGTTGAGGATGCACAAGGCCTCAGACCCATGGGACAGTTGTCAAAGCTATTACCCATATAAGCCAGGCTCAAGGGAAATGGCAGAGCTTTTTGCAAGAGTCAGCGATGAGTGTTTTTATGAATGGTTGATCCTTGGGTGCAGACAGCAACCGCAGCTTCCTCCTCCTGGGTGTTTAGACCCTGAGACCACTCACCTACAGAGACCTCCTGCTAGCTAACCCTCACCTTCGGGATGCACCTAATAAGAAAGCTGAGGTTTCAGGTGGTGGTGGAAGTGGCAGGGTTAGCGAGCCTCACCTGACTCCTTGTATGTGCATCTGCATGTGTGTCTTTTCTTCATTCCCTTGTTGTCTCCACCCTGGGGGCATGTACCCTTTGTTCCCAGCACTGCCCAAACATACTTGCCATCTCTTGAAGTGCCATAGCTTGATTTTTTTTTTTTTTTTGTTACACTTTTCACATTTATTTCTGTAGTGTGTAGTCATGCTGCATGTAGTACACACATGGAGATCAGAGAACAACTTGAGGTTGTTGCTTCTTTCCTTGCATCTTGTATGTTCTAAGGATTAAACTCTGCCAGGCTTGACAACAAACATTTTTAAAACACTGAGCCATCTCACTGGGCTTAAATCTTTTTTTATTTGTCATTATTTCTTAGTGACCTTGTACATGTTTTACTTTCTCTATCAGACTACTTACCCTCCAGTTTCCTACCTCTGTTTTATATTTCTGACTGGAGGTGAACAAACAGCCTGTCAAGCAATATTTGGGTATTTAAGAATAATACAACCCTTCAGAAAGTCAAGTAAGGACTTCAGGCCATGTTTTCTTGCTTTTCCTGTCAGGAACAGACTCCCAATGGAGAAAGTTTATAAAAAAGAATAGTATCTCCCCTTCCAAAATTGAAGAGGGAAAATTGGAACATTAGAAGATAATTTATTTCTTTTCTTATGGACTTAAACAGCTTAAAATCCTATTTCATGATAGAGTATCAGTATCTGCTATGTTGGTAAAATTCTCAGATTAAAAATATTTAATGCAATATAGAATATATACATATACATACATACATATATATATATAGAGAGAGATTTTCTATTTCCCCTTAGTTATTAAGGTTAACTTTAAACATAGACAAAATTGTCTGAAACATAAAACATAAAAACAAGGAAAAATAATGCAAAGAATTAGTGAATATGTCTGTATAAATCTGTATGTGTAGATGACCCTTCAAGCACATATACATAGATAGGGCCACCTCCCACTCTAGAGTCAAACAAAGTGAATTGCTTGAATGATGTCTATTAAATAATGTCTGTTAAATAATTTTTGTCAATTTTAGGAGTCTATGAATTGGCGACTTTTCAGATGAAGCCTGGAGGCCCAGCTCTGTGGGGTCATGCATTCAAAAGGGCAGTAAATGCCCATGTTGATCTTGGCTACTCTACACTAGTTGGTGTTTTCCACACTGAATATGGAGCCCTCAACAGAGGTACAGCTGTCTATCTCTGTGAGACTATGATGAATACTCATGATTGCCTGTGTTTCTTGGGTTTTGTTTTTTGGGTTTTTTTTTTTGTTTGTTTGTTTGTTTAATGTTTATTTGTTAGGTAAACAGTGTTCTGCCTGAGTGTATGCCTGCAGGCCAGAAGAGGGCACCACAACTCATTACAGATGGTTCTGAGCTACCACATGGTTGCTGGGAATTGAACTCAGAACCTCTGTAAGAGCAATCAGTGCTCTTAAACACTAAACCATCTCTCCAGCCCCTGGGTATTTTTTGATTGTTTTCTTTTTTTTTTAATTATGACTTTAATTTTGAAGGTTTTTTTTTTCTAATTGTAAGGTATGAAAACACTTATTTTTTCTTGCAATTGCTTATAATTTTTGGAGCTATTTTAATGGCTAACTCTTACTTAGAAACTGAAGAATTTTTAAGAAAATATTCTTTTAATCTTTTCTTCTAAAGTCTTAAGATTTTTTTCAAAATAATATTGGAGTAAAGAGATGATATATTTTGAATGAAAATATAAATTTATAATTTTAAAAATGCAAAAATTATGGACAAAGCAAAACAAAAAAACATTTAGCTATTTCTCATTATTGTAGTTAACAGTGTTCTCTAAACATCTACGACAAAGGGATGCCAAGACTAAAGAATTACTAGACATTAGAAGGCTGGAAACAATGCATGTGTGTGGCTGGTGATAGCTTTATGTACTCTAGTTTGGATAGATAGACTGTACTGGCATGATGGCCTGAGTTTGATTCCTAGCACCCACATCAAAGCTGACTACTCTGGCACCATTTATAATCTCAGCCCTGGGACGATGGCTAGGAGTCTGGCTGGCTAGTCTAGCCAGGTTAAGTTCCAAATTCAGATAGACCTGTATCACTAAGGAAGAGAAAAATGGGAGAGCACAACTGACATTAACCAGTGACTCCCACCTGCACACACTTGTGTTCATCCAGACACATACATAGTCAGGGTCAGGGATGTAGATCAGAGGCATTCATTCCGAAGGCCCTAGACTTTATGCCTGGTATGTATGACACACATTTTTAAAAATACCTATAATGTTATATTTAGAAAATAACACACACATATATATGTGCGTGTACACAGGTGACAAAAATTAATGAAAATAGAGGATACAAATTTGAATGAGCAAGGAAGGTTGTATAGGAGGGTTTGAAGGGTGGGAAGGGAAGGAAGAAAATAGGTAATTATGTTACAATCTTAAAAGAAAAAATGCCTGTTATTAAAAATTACAGCTAACATCTGAATTCCTCCTGCAGTTCATGTTCTGTGGTGGAACGAGAGTGCAGACAGTCGCGCAGCTGGGAGACACTGGTCTCATGAGGACCCCAGAGTCGTGGCTGCTGGTGAGCTGTTTCATCAGGCGTGAATTATTTTTAGAACACATTTGATTCAGCTGATGGCTTCATTGTCTTATAAAATGTCTTTGCAGTTCGGGAAAGTGTCAACTACCTAGAGTCTCAGCAGAACATGTTCATGATCCCAGCATCCTTTTCACCACTGAAGTAGTTTCCCACCTGACATGGGACATCCCAGTCACTGACTAGAGATGGATCTACAGCGGGTGCTCATGTCTCCCCAGAGAAGCAGTGTCTTTGTGGTCTGAAGCAGGTGACCAGTTACTTCACTGTGCCCTCTGCATTTGAAGGCTGCCTGAGTCCTTAACTACCAGCAGTTCCAGAAATACTTCTGTTCATCTTCCCCATGCCATTCATGGCACCAGACACGAGGAAGAGTTGCCATTACTCTGTGACCGTGGTGCTTTATTGTTCCACAATATCTTGTCTTCTGTGATTTTACGACTCATTGCCGTCTTATATTCAAATGACGATTTTGAAAGTTTTTGCCTGGAAATATTTGTAAATTAGTTAAATGAAGTATCTGTCTTTTGATCATGTTTTTCTTTCTTAAAATTTAAAAATATTTCTTACCCAATAATGTTTACTTTGTGATTTCAAATGGGCTTCATAGAAATATTAAATCTAGTATTTGTGTTTATACTTTATAAAAGTACAATGTCATATCATCTGTATTAATTACAATTTCACATTATTAAGTCAAAGTAGGAAAATAATATATTCTTGAAACTTGTTGCTGGATAGTATGGTTTTACCACAATCATTTTTAATTAACTTTTACTACTTTTAACTTTACCTTGAATCACTCAGAAAGATTATGAGATACATTTATTTCAATGAATTCTTTATAATTGGAAATCTTTGACCTAATAAAAGCCTTCACACCTATTCTGATTTTTTTTTTTTCAACTGTGTTTTGTGTATTTATATACTCTCCTCTGGAGCTCATCCTGATGTGGCAGGTTCATAGTGAGTATGAAGTCACATAGTAGAATATGCTGGCTGGCTCTGGAGGCAGACTTCCATAGAGGTCTTGACTATTGGGGGTATGAGATGGTAATCAGGAAGGCAAGCTGTGCAGCATTTATAGACATCTATCTCAGGACTCTTCAGGCATATTCACAGCACTGTAACGTGACTCACATATATAGGAAACAGCCAGAGTGTGGTATGTGCTTCACATACTCATAGAGTGACAATTACAAGATAATATTAAGTCATTTTCAGATAGTTTTAGGTTTCAGAAGGACAGATATGATGTTATCTCTCATGTGTGGTTCATAGATTTTTCTGTACATAAAATTATGCATGTCTATGTGAAATGAAAGTAAAAACAAAACTGTGGTAACAGAGGGGACTAAAGGGGGCAAAGAAGGGTGAAGTGGAGGAGAGGTTTGATGGAGGAGAACATAACTCAATATATAATGTATGCTTGTGTGAAATTTTTCTTAGGTAGCACAAATACCATATGTCGTGTATATATGCAATGAATTTTTTAATTGCTTAAAAATCCAAATGATCATAAACAATTTTTAAATTTAAGTAAAATTTAAACTTCATTATAAAATGTTAAAAGTGACTTAGCATTTTGCTTTGTTAACTATTTGAGCATCAGTTTTTGACCATTTCTGTAAGTAAAGAGTCAGAAAAGAGCTGACATTTGACCGACCTTCTTGATGAGTACACCAAGCATCTTAACAGGCCTCCTTAATTTAAATCATATACTTTATTCATTTGGTTTAAATAATATAATGCCTTTCTTGTATTTCACTCCAACTGCGTTTTCACTCTCTACAAAACTTAAGACAGAGATGTGCCTTCCAAGAGATTTGAAGAGGAAAGTAATTAATATGCACAGGTTCATACAGTAGCATTGATTCTCCACAATTAGATTTAACTTCTGTTCTCTTACATTGTCCCCAGTACCAGCTCTTCGTCTTCATTCCTTCACTGGAAAATAAAAAAAAGTAATCAGAAGAGACTGAGACTGTCACTTCCCCATCACTACCTGCAACAGGCTCCCTGGGGGACTTTTTTTTTCCTCCTACTTTGTGCTCCTCTCCTAGTATCCTGGTGAAGATCAGTTCGTCCACCTATAAACTAAATAGCTGAAGGATGTGGCTCCAACACTTAAATGTCTCCTGAAGCTAGTTTCTCCAAATCTCAGCCCTTCCCAGCATACAAATATGCTGTTATTTATCCCATTAAAAACCAAAACAAACAAACAAACAGCCAGTGGGTGGGTGGATGGTGGCACATACCTTTAATCTCAGCACTGGGGAGGCAGAGGCAGATGGATTCTTGAGTTCTGGTCTGCAGAGTGAGTTCTGGAACAGTCAGAGCTTCATAGAGAAATCCTGTCTTGGAAAAAGAAAAACAAACAAAAAAAACCATCCTGCCTCTCTTTCCCTCTATATAGTAATACAAAAGAAGTGTCGGACTTCCAGCCTCTGATTAATTCTCTCTTAAATGTCTCACTACCCCACTAGCCAAATAGCTCTCATTAAACTCACTTTCCATTTCTCATTTAGTGGGTCTCCAGCAATTGACCTCTGTTTTGTTCTAGAAGTATTTTCTTCATTCCCATTAACAGTAGCTGCTTAGTCTTCTTTCCACCTTAATGCCTCGTCGCTTGACGTCCAGTGGTGTCACATTCTAGAGCTGATTTCTTAGATTCCAAGTCTGTCCTGAACTCACTTCCTGCTCAGTCTCGTCTCCAACTGCCACCTGTGTTCAGACAGCCCATCCAGTTTATATGCTTCTCTAGAATTCAGCCTTTTCCAACTGCCAGTCTTAACACCTCTGCCTGAATATATTAGAAACTTCATACCAACCTGTCGAAAGCAGAGTTCTTAATCTCTATGGAGCAGCCCTGTCTCAATGAATGACACCTCCCATCCTGTCCATTTGCTCAGGTCATTAATCCCATTACATACCCATCAGCAGATCCCCAAAATGCAGAACTTGATTGCTTCACATCCCCGCAACCACGATGCTGATGCAAGCCCATCATTGGGATTTAGGAGAAAGCTCTTAACTGATCTGCAGTCATCCTACTGTTTTCAACACAGCGGCCAGAAGGATATAAAACATTATGTCATTCCTTGAAACCCCCATGCCTCCAATAGCTTCCTGTCTCACTTGAGTCAGTATCCAAAGTCCTTCAGTGTGGCTACAAGCCCTTACATGACCTGTCCTTCTGTTACCTTTCTTAGTGTCATTCCACTCCCTCAGTTCCAGGATGACCTACAACTTTTTTCTTCGACTCACTAAGCATTATCTTGCCTTCAAGTCTATTACCCTTACCTAGAATCTTCTTCCCTGGACATAAATCTTCAAGGACAATTTCTATACCTTTTTTGGATCTTTACCCCAGAGTCCCATGCTGATGGGAGATGCCATTATGTATATATGTTTCTCATACTAGTTAATGAATTAAGCACTGTTGGCCAATAGGAAAGGAGATAGGAGGGACTAGGAGACGAGGAAAGATGTTTGATAAACTGCCGCAGAAACAAATATGAATTTCATTTTAGCAATGTTGTTGTTTACCAGATAAAAGACTCATGGCTACAAAAAGATAAAGATTTACATTAAAGACAGATTCATATCAAGAAAACATTTAAAGGTTTACAGTATGTTCTGAAATATATGTACACTTGGGAGAGAAAAGAAAAAAAATGGTTTTAAAAAGACAGAGAACAGCTGGGTGTGTCAGCACACGCCTTTAATCCCAGCACTTGAGAGACAGAGGCAAGCAGATCTTGTTATTTCAAAGTAAACCTGGTATGCAGAGTAAATTCCAGGAAAGATAAGAGACAAACAGAGAAACCCTGTCTCAAAAAATAGAAAAGAAACAGAATAATAAAAAAGCCACAGATGGAGAGAATTTGTATACTGTACAATATTATATTGTCTTTGTATTGTTTGACTGCTGAGGAAACAACAACTGTTAAAGGAAATGCTTCTGGATTAATTCAATTTATATATTTTAAAAATGCTTTGACTCCAAAATTTAAGTCTAAGGAAAAGTTTGGGGAAAAGGATTTCTATTTTTGTTTCCTCAGAAAATAAAAAGCTGTGGATTCCTTCCAGACTAATGTGGTTTGAGCAAGCCAGACCTCCTGAAACAGAGTCGCTGGTGATCCAACATTCAAAACAGCTTGAACAAGGCAGCCTTACAGACTACAACCAGGATTTCTATGCCTTCTTAGGATCCCCATGACAGCGCCCCCTATCAGCAGGAAGTAGTTTGGAAAGAAATGGGGTTAGTTATAAATGATTAATGATCGCAATCAATCTCTTTTTAAAGGTAAAAAGGGAATTATGGTATAGATATGAATATTTTGTTTTGGAATGGATTTTAACTTATTGATACAATTTAAGGTCAATTTTGTGAAATGTATATTTCTCCTCTTGTTTAGGTATTGTGTTTGTATAGCTCATTTAGAAATGTAATGTATAATGTAGTACAGATTATAGATAATTACCTATGATAGTCAAAACTTAGAGTTAATTAGGTTTTTCAAGTTATGCAGAGATGTATTTGAGATAGATAGGCATTCTTCAAACCTTTCAAAGACCTACAGAATATGGCATTTAAAGTGGTTTAGGGTTTTTCTTGACAGTGAGACATAAATGCTCCTGGCAACACCACCTGAGTCAAAAAGGAAGATGGACATTAAAGAAAGTCATAATGGAGTTTGCTTTCATATGGCAAAACTAGCCATTTGGACAAGATGCTGCTCTTGTCTGGACTGTTTGACTTTATGCTGTATAAACTGGACATGCAGGACCCACAGAAAAATGACTGCTGATTCAAGATGGACATTGGTACAGAGTTTCTGCTTCATGGAAGAGTCTGCCAGACAGTCTGCAGGACACAGAGAAAAGTGACTGACAAACTTCCAATACAAGAAGACAGTTTAAAGTTTCCTACTTTGCTGAAGAGTCTGCTAGACACACTATGGCCTATGGGCTGAAGATGGAAGATTACAGAAGAACTTCAGGTGACTGACAAGGCAAGATGTCCCTGTCATTTCTAGAGTTTATATACTATCCTTCTATGGTCTTTGAAAGAGTTGAAAACAGATAGTTATGGTTACAGTTTTCCTTAGTTAGGATTAAAGATAAGTTACATATAGGACTTTAGACTCACAAAGATAGAATAGATGATGAAATATTTTCTTAAATCTTGATAAATGTTAATGAACTAAATAGTGTTAACTTTGATTCTTATTTGATAACTGCTGTGTAATATATTTTGCTATGTTAAGGTTAAAACCCTTCTTTTTATTTAGACAGAAAAGAGGAAATGATGCGAGATGCCATTATGTATATATGTTTCTCATACTGGTTAATGAATAAAGCACTGTTGGCCAATAGGAAAGGAAGATAGGAGGGACTAGGAGACAAGGAGGAAAGAGGAAGTAGGGAGGAGGGGTCAAGATGGAGAGTCAGGAGAAGGCAGAACCGCCAGCTTCCTCTCGCTGGTAAGACCACATGGAAATAGGTAGAAATGGGTTAATACTTAAGACAGAACTAGCCGATAAGAAACAAGTAGTGGGACAACAGAATTATATCAAATACAGAGTCTCAGTGTGTTAATTGGGGCTGGCGTGGCAGCGGGACCAGACCAGCGGCAGGAGGAAAAACCACACTCTTTACACCATGCAGCCCTCCCTGATATCCCCATTTAAAACTGAAGTTCATGTTTGCTATGGAAGGAATGTTCTTTTCCTTTCAGATTCACATACTGAAACCCTAATTCCTAATGATGTTTAGAGATGAAGACCTTAGATGTCTTATTCCATGTTCTATTGCTGTGAAGAGACACTATAACCATGGCAACTCTTGCAAAGGAAAGCAGTTCATGAAGAGGGCTGGCT